TTATCGTAGGGCCTGCTTCAACGATGTTTTCACCAGCGTGTCCATGTCAGCAAATTACCTTGAAACCTATGGCTCATATTCAGGGGTGAATTTCGATTTTGGCTTGAAGTAGCCGTGTAAATCGCAGGGAATGAATTATATAGAAACAACTCTTCGCTCTTGATAATAAAATAATGTGGAGGGTTTCGACCACCTGGTGTTTTTTAACGTGCGCTGACATCGCACGGGCCTCTGCGATTTCTCCTCCATTGAAATGCGGCGGCCGGGATCAAACCCCTGGAGTCGAGCACCCAGTCAACTGCTCCCCCGATGTGGACCGCCATCGATAACAATTGGCAGATCCCTCGCACAGTGCGAATCGATGATATGCGAAGCACGAAGGAGGAAATTTGATGTCACTAACCAGTTTGACGTTACAAGGTGGACGTAAATTACAGCGTACATAATTTAAATTTCATGATTATCAAGTTTGTACGCGTCTTTAACTTCTTCGTCTATTTACGCCATGTGATACCAAATTCGGTATATGTGGAGCTAGCCAAACGGCCACGCGAGCTCCGCCGTGGTGGTCAAGTGGCTAAGGTACTCGACTGCTCACCCGCAGGTCCCGGAATCGAATCCCGGCTGCGGCTGCTGCATTTTCGATGGGCGCGAGAACGCTGTAGACCCGTGTGCTCATATTTGGGTGCATGTTCAAGGAGCCCAGGTGGTCCAAGTTTCCGGAGCCTTCCACTACGACGTCTCTCATATTTGTATGGTGGTTTTGGGACGTTAAACCTCACACATCAATCAATCAGCAAAGCGGCTGGGAGCGCGCTATAAGCGCAGCATGTAGTCATGTTTTACATGACACGCATGTCATTATGTCTTCGTTAAGGCCTGTCACTTATGGTCGCCATGCGTACATGACATATCCTACCAGTTTTGCAACATGTCATGTGAACGAAACCAACGCAAGAGCAGCAAAACCATGAAATGTAAATCATAACATACATGTCATGATTTTCACGCTATGACTAGTCACTTATGCTTGTGAAGCAGTCATGTTGTGTCATACGAATTTTGGTGTTGATACCATTATCAAAATGGCCGGGAGAGCTAAAACATACCAATTTTTTTAGGTATTGATAGCATTATAAAAATGGTCGAGAAAGCTAAAATTCGTAGGTGGCTAGATAGATACGCTCAGAGTCGCCGAAGTTCGCCAAGAAATGCTTGGCATTTATTAATATCTGGGGATTTACGTCCCGACCCCGCGATATGATTATGAGCTACACCGAAGTGGAGAGGTGGGATATTTTCGACCATGTGGTGTTCTTTGATGCAGTGACATCACGTAGTCACGGCCGCTTGATCTCCTGATCGCTCGGCCTTGGTAGTAGCGTGTGGTCGCGAGCTGCAAAAGAATTACAGGTACTATTTCCGTGCGGCTCTGTAGCGCACCGCTGCAAACTGCACTCAGACCGTCCGCCCGACTCTTGACCAATCCGCCCCCTCAGTGGGTCGATGCCAATCATCCCAGGAACGTCATCATCAACACCACATGGGGGCGCTCCCTCTCGGGCTCTCGGCTGAGTGAGCGCGCAGCCCAGCCTGAGCGGCGGCCATGTCGAGGAAGGGGGCCGGCCGCTCGGCGCCGGCGCTGCCTCGGGGCCGGGGCAGGGCTAGCCTCGGCCGCGCCAGCCCCGGCCGCGCCAGCTTCGGCCGCGCCAGCCCCGGCCGTGCCTCGCCTGGCCGTGGAGGGGCCGCTTCGCCCGGCAGAGGTGCTGCACCCCCGGTGCCGCTGGCCGTACTGGCGCCGCCCACAGAGAAGGACATCCAGCGCCGGAAGCTTCGGGACATCATGGACCGCAAGGTGATGGTATGGGATCGCATGATGGACACCAACAAGGAGGACGAACGCAGGCTCGGACTCGAGACGTTCAAGCGGCTCAGCGAGGACGAGGTGGCGCTTGCCACCAAGAACCTCTCGAAGGACAAGCTGAAGGAGTTTATCGACCTGAAGATACACTACTTCGACCAGCTTGCCAACGCGAGGACCCACGACAAACGTGTCGAGGGTCTGAGACGCTTCAAGAAGGTGGGGGACGACGAGTACCGCCTGGCCCAGGTATTGGGTCCCGCCGACAGCCTCGACGACATGGTCAAGATGCGCGACGAGCTCGACAAGAAGGAGCAGGCCAAAAAGGCCGAGGAAAAGAAAAAGGAGGAGGAGAAGAAGAAACGAGAGGAGATGGAGAAGTGGATGTTACCCACGGTGAGCGTCAGCATGACCGACCCGAACATGACGTCGCAGATGCTGGCCAAGCAGCAGCTCTTGCAGCTCGCCGATATTGAGAAGGCCGCCACCGACAACGTGGCGCAGGTCGCGTACGGGGTGTCGCCCCAAGACGTCATAGCGCAACAGCAGCACCTACTAGCAGCCGCGGCTCAGATGCCTCCCATGATGGCGCCCATGATGCCCTTGTCACCGATGGCGCGTCCCATGTCGCCCATGCCACCAATGATGCCAGCTGCCTTTTACGGGGGGCCCTTCACAACCGACGTGGCCGGCAGCCAGACTCCGGGCGGTGCATTCGGTGCTGTTGCGATGGACTTGGACAACAAGGTGCGTCTGCTTTCTCAGCTAGAGACAACTCGAAGAGCGCTCCAGAGCCAGCCCGTTGGTTCCCGTTCAAGCATGGCGGAGGAGATTAAAACGAACCTGCGCAAGCTAAACAACCTCAAGATGAGGCTCATTGATGAAATCCTCGGACAAGGGGGTGTGCCTGCTGGTGACGGAGAAATGCGTACCGTCGAACATGTGCATAAGCGTGATGGGCAAAAGTCCAAAAAAGACCGAAAGATTATATTAGAATTTGTGGGCCCCGGTGGCAAGATTTCTGATCTCAACATTGGCAAGGAACATAAAAAAAAGAAGGACGGTGAGAACACGTCAACTCTAGTGCTCGAGCAGGAATTCAATGGCGTTGTGCAGTCGCCTTCTTTAACAAATACCACAACTTTTCCGGCTCATGGTTGTCCGGCATACCAGCAGTGTATGGCCTATGGGTGCATCGCATCAGCGCCCGCTGGGTCCGTGTCACAGTCTGTGTTTCCAAATGCACAGTGTACGTACTCTCATCCACAAGTCAACTGCCCTTGCGCACCATTGGACATCAAGCCTGAGGTGATATGGGAAAGGAAAGAAACGAAAACGTACGCCGATAAGTCGACCCTGATGGACCCGCCAGAGGCGCTCAGGTATATGGATGCCGCCGTTACGTCGGATGACCAGACAGTTGTGAAGGAGGAGTACAAGCTGTACACGTGCGAGGAACCTGTCCACGAGAGGTCTCCTCCACCGCCACCGCCTGGATACCAGCTGCTCAAACCAAATTACGTGCCCGTAGTGCCGCTCGCTATGCTCGAACAAGGTCTCAACTACGCACGTCCCAGGCCACAACACGAAATCGGCATTTCTGCTGTTCCTGTGGAAGACGAGGCTGCACAGTTGCCACCTTCATGCCCTCCGGTCATATCGAAAACCACAATTGTCGTGAACACGGCAGCCGACAACGTCGCCTCGCCACTTCCTGCTAGCCCTGTAGCAGTGATGACCAGTCCTGTTCAAGCAGCGACCAGTCCTCTTCAACCAGTGGCCAGTCCAACGCCGGTCATTACTCGTCTATCCCGCTCGACATCTTCGGAGCACAGGGGCAAGCTAGCTCTGCACGACAGCATGGAACGTCTCGCAAGGTCCATTGACGACATGTACAACACACTTAGCGCAAAAGCGCGAAGCAGGCGCCGCTCCAGGTCATGGTCCTATAGCGAGGACGACGACGATGAGGATACAGGCGGCTACATGTCGAGAACGGCTCCGCGAATGCGTCGCCGACGGCGCTATGGGAACCGAAATAGGTCGAGAGACCTTCAAGGCCAATGGCAGGATGAAGAGCTGGACGACGACACCAGCTTCCGGTCAAGAAGGCGTCGCGGCAGCAGCAGGGCCGACCACGATGAGCTGCCATCGCTGTGGGGCTGGCTGTGTCGGAGCTTGTGCAATCTCACGGAGGGCTACGAAGAACGAATGCGCGCTGAAGTGCGAGACACGCGCGTTCTGCAAATGGGGAACCGCATACGCAACCTGATCCAGAACGTGATACGGGCCTCCAGAGAGGTGATCGAAGCTCGCAGGGCCATTCAGCAGAGCGGCCTCAAGGGAGAGGACTACACGAGAAACATATTCGCGGCTGAGAGTAAACTGTGGGAACTGATTGACCTCGAGGCCCAACTGGCCAACGAGTTGGCTCTGTACAGGCAGACCGACGTGGCCGCCACGGACGACCACTACTTTCAAGGCCTGGCCAATGCCGAGGATAAAATCCGCCGGCTGATTGGCGTCGAGACACAGTTGGCACGTGAAATAGGCAACTGGCGCCAGTCATCCAGCAAGAAGCTGCCGTCGCCGCCTTCGAAGACGACCATCTACACGGCGCTGTCGCAGCTGCCGTCAGTGCCATCCATGCTGGGCCGTTCGTCGGGGACGCGCTCAAGCTCCTATCTGCTGTCAACGTCAGCAAGCGGAACCACGTCGGGGGCGGGCACCACCACGGCGACGCCTTCGTCGTCGGGATCAGCCTCGCCAAGTGGCGCGTCCGGAGAGGCAGCATCCACCTCGGGCACTGCATCCACCTCCGCAGGCAGTAAAAAGTCGGCAAAGTCCAAAGGGAGTTCGAGAAAGAAGAAGAAAAAAAAGAGATCTAGGAGCAGCTCTAAGAGAAAAAAGAAGAGGAAAAGGAAGAGACACTCGAAGAAATCCAGGCGCTCCAAGAAAAAACACAAGAAGAGAAGAAAGAAAAAGCACCGAAAGCACGACAAGCGCCACTCACGCTCTAGCAAGCACCGGAGGAAGCACAGAAGGAAGCACAAGCGCTAACGCCCGTTCGTTAGTGGGGGAATGTGACGTTAGATTTGCTCCTAAATTTCAGTATGTTTGCTACGAAGACAGTTCTCGCTCGTTGAGTAAGCACTTTTATTTTCGATACATTGGAGTTACTCACAGCATCTCAAGCCCGAAGTGTCGGCAGACGGTGCAAAATTCTCTTTCAAGCAGGGGTGCGCGAATATACGAAAAAGTATCGAATCAAAGAATTTTACCACTGCGAATATTTTTCTAACAGTTCACAAATATTTTGACATGTCCTAAGCTCTGTGAACTCCAAACGAACAAATGTTTTAATAAATTTTGTTATATTCACTGACAATATTTAAACTGGTGGGAGAAACGTACACTCGTCTACACAGCGATGCTTCAAACTCTTTGAAGAGCACGGTGCATGCGGATAATTTGCTTGCACCTTCCTAAGGCAGATCAGAGACTGCGTATTTTTGGTAGTAACGGCTCTATTCGATTCCATCTCAAATGTCTATTCGCCCGGAAGACCGCAGGCCGCCGCTTGGTTCCTGAGTGCCACCCCGTACCACTCCAGCTCGGCCAGTAGCTTCGCGATGCGCTGCGAGAAACCGTCGTCTGAGGCCGAGCCATCCTCGGCGACCAGCGTCTCAACCTTGGCGTTAAGGCTGATGAACGGCACCGTCACCATGCCCAGCTCGCCCAGGAAGCTGCGCAGTTGCATCGCGGCAGCCAGGCCGGCTCCGTTGCCTGCGCGAGAAACATATGGCGTCACTCATATTCCTTTGAATTAAAATTTGGAGCACCCTTAAGCCTCGCCTTTTAGAGTTGAACGGCTAGTGCGTACTTCAAACACTTAGTGTATAAAGTCTTTTCGAACTTGTTACTCACCCACTACGTGGCCTTATGAGTGCAGTAGCGTGCGCACCTTTTGGCTTTAAACTATCAAATCATGATAATCTGATGTTCTGACGTTTGATGGCACTCGGAAATTGCGTCACTCATATTCCTTCAAATACAACTGTCGTGCGCTCGGATAAGAAAGCCCAACATAAAAATCTCCAGGCTTACAATCGCAGCGAAAGCTGGAAGAGCGGCCTCTCTAGAGCCCTTTTTAAACACTTCGTGTAACTGCTACAAGTACACTTGCAGGGTATCCACTATGCCGTAAATAATAAACTTTCGTAAAAAGGCGTTCTTATTCCTCTTCTTGACCTCCGCACGTGGCACACACCCAGAATTATAGCGCCTAGTAATATTACCAGTATATTTCTGGACACTGTACCAGAATTGGCCGAGTAGAAAGACATTCCATGATAAGGATATGTTGATGGCCTGTATGTATGGCTCACACCCACTCTGGAGGATTGGCATTTTTCAACAGTAAAACAGATGACAAGTTAAAGAGGAGGCTCCCAAGGAAACATTTGAAAGTAAGAAATCCAATCTAATTTGATTCCAAACCCATTTAGGAATGTTTTAAGTGTGACTGTATTTCTTAGTCGGACTATGTTAGGCGTCGTCGGGATCCGTCCACGGACCTGTCCCATAGCAACAGCTGCGAGCGCGCGCGCTTATCCTCACCCCTAGCTGCCGGAGCCTCCTTGACTTGAACCTGACTTGCCATCGCCTCATTGCAGTGCGTTTGAAACGCGTTTGTATCGTTTGTGCTGCCAGCGTCTGTGTTGATTAGACGCCAAGATTGTGGCCGTCAGGTACAATGGCAGGTGCAGTACTTGGCTTCCCTCTCACCGTTCGCTCTCTCTCTTCCCGGCGCTCTGCATTCTCGTCCGCTCGCACCTCACTCTCGACCATAGAGTTTCATACAATAATACCTAGAGTGGAATCTGGCGCTAGTGTCTACGCGTGCTCCATCAGCGGCGCTTGTACCTGCATGGAAATGATGGGAAGTACAGGCTTCGGATCTGCTTTGGATGGACCACGTTCTTGAGATTCGTGACGCTTATTTTCCGAGCGTAAAACAAAGCAATATAAAGGTATAATAAATTGCAACGTGCTTCATTTTTTCTACGCAAAAGTTATTGCAGAAAGTTTTTGTGACCATTGTGTAGAAGTGAAACATGGACAAATTTAACCACCAAGGTACGCATCGCTCTGTCATTGCGTTCCAGATTTGGCATCAAGATGTAGTGAAATATTTTTACTGCACATGACAACAAACACGCTTGTTTTTCGCTCTAGAGTACGCATAATCTATTTATGTAAATAACAGCAGAGTATGAAGTGAGAAACACTTAACGTTTCGTCTGCTGCGATGCCAGGAGCGTCTGTCTATGCCCCAACGCGCCTGTGGTTCTGTTGTGAAATCGAGTCAGAGGAGCGTTACGGTGCGCGTGCATCTACTTAGCTTCGTCATTTTTTGCAGTCGATTTAAGACGAGTTTAGGCAAGACGCACTCGTGAAAAAAACATGAACTGGATGCAATATCCTGCACTGGCATGAGACGCTACATCTATGCGCAGCGGTGAGTGGACGATGCTTCGTTTGAACTGTCAAATATGACTAGCAAAACTCCGACGTCGCAGCTAATCAGTATATCTAGTAGTCTTCAGCCTCCTCGAATAACAGAAGCACTGCTTAAGTCCTTTTCACCGCGCCTCACTATCCGCCCTGCACGAAGAACGAAATTGAAACTGTAGAAAAAAGTCTGTAGACTGTTCGCTAGCTAACCCTATCCAATCCGAAGCCTGTACTTTCCATAACTTCCAATTCTTAGGCAGCACGTAGACAGTCTACGTAGACTGCTTAGAAGACAGCACCGAGCCCATGCTGTCCGAGAATCGGAAAACTTCTGGACGGCTTTTACACAACGATGCGCCACCTCGCGTCGAAAAAAGAAAGCTAAAATAAACAGACGTAGCAGTTGTATTTTCTGGCTTATTTCGTGTTGAAATCAAAAACAAATGTTACTCACATTGAGCGTTTGGGAAAGCGTCTGCTTGTGAGCAGACGGCCGTTTTAGCGAGATTTGATCTATCTGAGCGATTCGCTGAGCCTCCATCTTGTTAAGACAGCAAAGTAGCCTGCATCGTATTTGTCTACGATGTGGTCTTCTCGGAGCTGTCTATTTTGCCGGATACGTGAGAATTGGAATGGGACTTAAGATGACCGCCGTCCATTTAGCTGTCTATTTAGCCGTCTACGGTGAGTATTGGCACACAGCACGATCACAGCGCGATTCCTCTCTATAGCCTGTTTCACATGCGAGCGATTTTGCTCCAAGAGCGGAGTGGCAGCCACCGCGCGAGGCCAAAACAGGTTTCTACCGCACCAGGACGTTCCCGCCAGGCGAGCCACACGTCTACCACAGTGGGCCTCAGTCAGCGTTCGTGAGCAGTGTGGCAGGCGCCATGCGTGTTCAAGGTCAATGACCACGGTAGTGATCAGCGTTCTCGACCGCAGCTCGTTAGGTGGATATCACCCCATGGCCATTCCCACAAAGGCCCTGGTCCCACCGTCTGGGCCACCGTACGCACTAACTGTACAAGTCTGGGGGCGCCTCATTTCTATGGAACTGGACACGGGGGCCATTGTGTCGGTCAAGGCGGGCAAACTTTTCAAAAGGACCTTCTCCGGAGTGGCCGTAGAGGCTTCAGGCGTCATTCTGCGAAGTTACTCGGGTGAGCTTTCCCAGGTCCAAGGCCAGGCACAGATCAGCATACGTTTTGGCAACAGGGAAGCTACCCTTCCTCTGTATTTGACCACGGAATTGTCACCGACGCTGCTCGGCAGGAATTGAATTTTCGCACTCGATATCCGGCTGCCAGAGGGCCAGGAAGCAGCCCTACATGGCGTACAAGACATCCCGAGCCTCCTAACGGAGTTCCAGTCTCTGTTCAAGTCAGGGGTGGGCGCATTCGCCGGTACGACTATTGGCATCCATGTACCCGAGGGAGTCCGGCCTCGGTTTTTCAAGCCTCACGCGCTGCCGTTCGCACTTAAGGACGGGGTCACCCAGGAGCTGCAACGGTTACAGTGAGAAGGCATCCTGGTACCAGTCAAGACTGCGGAGTGGGCTGCTCCCATCGGTTCAGTTCCCAAGTGAGACGGTAGTGTCAGAATCTGTAGGGATTTCAAGGTTATGATCATCCCGTCTTTACCATCGAAAAATACCCCCCACCTCGTATTGAAGATCTCTGGTCGGCTTTGCCTGGTGGTCACAAATTCATGAAGCTTGACCTCAAAGATGCGATCCAGCAGTTCGCGCTCCAGGAGGCCTCACGGAAGTATGTCACACTATCGACAACTATGGGCTTTTCCAGTATACTGGTTTACCATTCGGCGTGGCCTCGGCACTAGCCATTTTTTCAGAGAGAGAGGGACAACCTCTTCTGGGGCATGAGGCACGTCGCAGTGTACTTGCACGATATCCTCGTCACCGGTATTGACGACGGAGACCACATGCAGAATCTGCATAACGTTCTGGTCAGACTTCAGAATGCTGGTCTCAAGCTCGAGCAGGAAAAGTGCATGTTCCTGGTTCTATAGTGTAGAATAACTGGGACACGTCATCTCCCAGGCTGGCCTGACTCCGGCCACCCGCAAAGTTGAATCTGTTCTGAAGGCGCCGAAGCCCCGAAACAAAAAGAGCTACAAAGCTACCTTGGCCTCATCAATTTTTACAGGAAGTCCCTGTCCAACCTATCTGCGCATCTGAAGCCACTGCACATTTTGCTTCGAGATGGCCAGCATGGGGCGTTGAAGAAAGAGAAGGACATCGCCTTTTAGCGCAGTAAACAGCTAATCATCAAGGCACCAGTGCTGATGCACTTCGATCCAGCCAAGCTTGTTGTTCTTACTGTAGACACATCACCATACGGTGTTGGAGCCGTCTGAGCGCACAGAGACGACAAGGATGGCCAAGAACGCCCGGTCTCGTTTGCCGGGCATCATAATCTCCGATAATGGGCCCGCTTTTGCCAGCGCACAGTATCTGGCCTGGCTGACAAAGAACGGAATCCGCCGAATGATGGTTCCTCCATATCACCCTACTTCAAATGGGGCAGCAGAGTGGGTGGTGCAGACGATTAAGGATAAACTTTATAAGAGCCAGGTGGAGATTTCCGTACGCAGTTCGCTCGCATACTCTTTCAGTATCGGACCACACCTCATGTAGTCACCGGCCGTGCCCCCTGCGAGCTTTTGCTGGGTCGTATGGTGAAGTCACCATTGAACATTCTGCACCCAGGCTTCCGGTACACGGTGCTCCCCAAACAGCTGAAACAGAAGCAGGCTGCTGACATACGGTGCTGTCCAGGGCCATTGCCCGAGCCCGGAATGCCAGTGTTCGCTAGGAATTTCTGTTCTGGATCATCTTGGTCTGCTGCACAAGTGGTATCGCCTGCAAGATCCTCCTCTCTGCTCGTACGAATGCAGGGTGAAACCACATGGAACCGACATGCCGACCATGTGAGGGCTAACCGTGGGACCGGGCTTACATCCGCGGCAGCACCAGTTGCGGCCAGTGCAACAACCGTTTCGCAAGGAACAGGCGCCTCCAGTTGTGCGCCACTATTTGGGCCACCGGCAAGTTCTGTGCCATCCCTGCCAACCCCGGCAGAATCTCAGGAGGAACCGAAAGCGGCTCAGGCAGCACCTAGTGCTACCGCACATAGTCCCTCAACACCTGTATCCGGGCGGAGAAACCAACGACGAAGGGCATTAAACCGCTTTTCGCCTGCCTAAAGCGACGCTGAACCGGCTAGGACTTGTATTTTTTGTGGGCAATA